TTCATTTGTAATAATGGACATTATCCCCAAGATTATGATCTGATAGCTCAATGCTTTCTCTTGACCTTCTTTTGGTCCTAACAATGAAGCTCTTAGGCAGGGAGGTTCCCATACCCATCTTAAAGATGTGAAAGTGAGGCCCAGAAGAGTGAAGTCACTGCTTGCTCCTCCATTTGCTTTCTTTGTTTCCTGGCCTCCCTCCCTCCCTTCCTTGCCCAAACCTCCATCTTCCTTGCCCCCTCCGAACTGTGCCCACCCCCAATCTTTCTTGCCTTCTCTCACTTCTTTCTTCCTGCTTCTGTGCCAGTGAGGAGGGGCACTCAGGAGCTCCCTGGTTAATAGGAAAGACAGGCCTTAAGACCTCTCCATCCCACACAGTGTGATAAGCGCCGGCCTGAGGCCTGCGTGGGGAGAGCCTGGTGGACCAGCACCCGGAGCTGGGAAGGGCGGAAGATGTCCCTGGTTGCTTCCTGGGGAATCCACTCCGGGGCTGACTGAGTCAGGAGAAAAGCACAGGAAGGGCATTTCAGGTCATGGGAACAGCATGAGCCTGGGGAAGCACAGAGGACGAAGCATCCCAGCATGGTCTGGGAATGCTGACACAAAGGGGAAAGGGCACAGGCCAGAGCACCAGGGGCCAGAAAGCCCGGTCCAAGCAGTGGAGGGTATGTTATGGGCAACAGAAAGCCATAAGGTTCTAAGCTGGGGAGTAACAGGGTCAGATGCACAGGGAGCATCAGAAACGCTGTTAGCAAGAGACCTTTTGGCCAAAGTCTTAAAAAGCCAACTGGTGGGTGTGGAAGGGCATCTGTCTTCGAATCTTAGTATGGTGAGTCTAGAAAGGCCTTCAGCCATGAACCAGCCTAATCCCTAAATTTTAGAGAAGAGGAAATTGAGGCATAAGGGACTATCATCTTCCCTCTGCCAGGCAGTCCCCAATTCCCGGTGGTCAGCTTTTTCTGTAAGCAAGGTTGGTACAGCTCCCATGGCTATTGTTGTATCATTTCCACCGGCTTCTGTCCTTCTCCAGCCTACGCCCTGGGGCAACTAGGGTTTGTCCTGACTCCCACAGTCCCGCCACTGCAGGATACAACCACCTGTCGCAGACCGTTGGTTACAGTTGTACACAGACAACTGTATTCGTGTCCCTCCCGCCATACGGCTGAGGAAACGTGCCGCACCGAGCCGGGTGCTTCTGTTGCTCCCTCAGGACAGCTCTGCCTGTACCCGGGGGACTGGACCCCCCTGCAGAAGCCTCAGAGACCACCACCCTCGCTGTCGCCACTCAAGCTGCTGCTCCGTGGTCCCTGCCAAAGGTTCGGTGTTTCACACCTGAAGTTGGTATGAAACTACCCTGAGCCATGTTGAGCTGCCTGACATCACACGGTGGGTGGGCGTCAGGGCTCCGATGCAAACAGGGGTCAGGCTAATCCCGCGGCGGAGGCGGATGCTGAGGCTGGGTCTCTCTCCTGGACAGTGCTGACTCCAGGGCCTGGCTCCGTTCCAACCCACCTTCCACGCTCTGTCCAAAGTGCTGTGCTAAGCGCTAGTGCCACGCCAAACACGGGCTGCGAGAGGACCAAGCAACACACAGACTCCCCGCTCCACGTGCTTACAGTCTAATAAGACTAACAACAGTGCACCGTTCATCGAGCGAATACCACGGGGCAGGCTCTGGGCCGTTTCACGTGCAAGACGCACAGAGCTGTTGAAGTAAGTGGCCCGTGGTCACATAGTGCTGAAGTGAAAAAAACTTCAAAATCACGGCCATTTGTTTGCATGGCTGAACGAGGCAAAGGAGCTGAGCACAAGGCACCACACTTAAGCCACTAAGTGACTGATGGACGCAGTTATTCCCTCTGGAAGAAAGGTTGCACCCAGTCTCCTGAGTAGGGGCCTTGGAGCGGGACCCAAGGTTTCAGGGGACAGACGTGGCCCCCGAGTCAGGGGAAGTGGCGAGATTGGGAGTGGACAGTAAGACCCAGGGGGACGGCAGTGCGGGTGGGGGCCCCAGGGACACACACAAGCCACGCCAGTGCTTGCTGCTTCGCAGGCACTGCCTAGTTCCCTCGGCTCCTCCACAGCCCCCTGAGGAAGACCTTCCTCCCTGTGTTTCCCGGATGCAGAACTGGGGACTACACGGGTTAAGGAACTCACCCCAGTCACCCAGAGCCAAACCGTGGGACCCTTCTATCGTCTCTCTCTGCCTCCCAAGATGGTGTGTGTAAGACATAATGAGTCCTGGGGACCGAAGATCCTCAAGATCCTGCATTTTGTCCTACGTGTGGCTTTGAACCTTCTGAAGGCTGGGTGCAGGCCCGGCACGCTGGGGGCCTTGGGGGCAAGCCGCTGACCACGGCTCCAATCCCATCATGGCCTCGCCTGTCCACAAGGCCTGAGAAGCATCCACTCACCACGTGGACACAGAGGATGGAGCTCTCCCCCCGAGCTTTCTCCAGGGGGTTGAACAGGTCTTTACCTGTAAGTCACAGGTGTGATGTCAGAGGCACAACAGGGTCCACGGGGCTGGGACTCAGATGTGAACCCTGACCCCTGTGCTGCACAGCGTTGCCCACGCCAGCCCCTTCCCGTCCATGGCCTCTTTCCCCATCCCTCTGGCCTGTGGCCTCCATGGAAGCCCTCTTCCCAGCAGAGGAGGTCAGGAAATCTTCCATGGTCGGAGCCCCCATCCATCCCTGAGTTGACCATCCACTGCGCAAAGTCGAGGAGAGCCTTAGGCTCAGCGTTGGTTCCCTGGGTCTTTTCCTTCGGCTTTTCCCTCTCTTCTCTGGGCTTTGTTTCCTTGCTTGTAAATTAAGGTTCAGACTATTTCTAAGGCCCTTTCCAGCTCACAAACTCTTGTTGCTACTAGCATGAAGCTGGAGAACCTGCTGGAATTGGTTGTTGGTGTAAGAGACTTTTGAGAATGTGGCTCGACCGGTAGTGTGAGTGTATTGAAACGCTCCCTAGCCTCTGAAAGGAAGGAAGAAAGAAAAAGAAAGAAGGGAAAAGAAAGAAAAAAAAGAAAAGAAAAGAAAAGAAAAGAAAAGAAAAGAAAAGAAAAGAAAAGAAAAGAAAAGAAAAGAAAAGAAAAAAGAAAAGGAAAGAAAAGAAAAGAAAAAAGTCAAGTCTTTGGTGAACTTTTCTGGAAGGATCCCTACCAAAGTCTTCCTGGTCACAGAATCAGGCTGTCAGGGGTCTCCCCCCCCCCCCCCACAGTTACTTTACTCAACATGGCCTCTTTATAATTTCAAGTTCACGTATATACCCAATTAGAAGGGAAGAGAATGACTCTTTGCACACAAACTTATTTTTAATTTTTTTAAAATCCCATTTTCTTTCCTTTTGTATTTCAGGGGAAAGTCTTTGCAAGGCACAAGAAAGATTTCTTTTTTTTTTTCCAGAAGATTTTACTTCAAGGTTAGTTAAACAGCATTTTCCCATAAATAAGCATAAAAACTGTGTCCCCTGGGCTGATTCCTTTCAGTTTATGCACTGACTACAATAACTCCCAATTCTGCACATGATGCCAGCTAGGTTCAAATAATAGCAGCTAAAATCTATAAAAACCAGTGCTTTAAAAACGCACCCACACAGAATTGGGTAGGCTCGGCACTGAACGATTATAGGATTTTGAAATGATTTTCAACATTTCTTGATTTCACACACCTTTGTTTAAATTACGGGTTGCTGCCAAGATGTGTTATCTGTTGATCATTCTGGTTTGTGTATCAAAGTGCAAAGTATTCGTTTTAATTTAATCTTTCTCCACTGAAAATGCTACAGTTGTGACTCTGGCATTTCAGTCACAATGGGGCTGAATCGTGAGCTCTCAAACAGAGATCCTACCAATTTAAAGGACAGAAGGGCTTTTAAAGAATATGTAAACCTACACAGAGGAGGAAACTCAGACTCAGAGAGGTCATGGGCTTGTCTAAGGTCACCAGCCAGAGCCCCGAGGACTCTGAATCCTATCTTCTGGGGGAGTGTCATTCCTGTGGAAGCGTTCTCAAATCTTCAATCGGAAAATACCAAAGTGCCCATGACTCTTCTCTCCTGGGCCCATTTGCCCAAGTCCTTTCAAGGCTTTCTCTCTTGTGGGTATTCGGGGTCTTCTTCAAATTGGCTCTGCCTCCTATTTCCAAACATTAATGGTAGCCTTTTATTGAAGTCACCAGTGTCAAAAGCCAGAGACGCTGTCTGTCTTGCCCTGGGTTCACCTGGCAGTGGGGCTCTGAGACGGTCAGGTGTGCTCGTAATGGAACAGAAGGCACAGCCCCTTGGAAAGGAGATCTGGTTACCATGCATTTCAACGCCCAAGTCTCCTCCACAACCATTTCGCCAGCAGGTCAGTCCTTCCAGCAAGACACAGAACAAGACTCAGTGCACTTGACACCTCTTGGCAGACATCTTCCCTAACCGCCGCTCCCCACCCACAGCCCGGGGAAGCGCCCCCTCTGTGAACACAACAGGGCACAGGGAAGGGAAGCGAGGTGTGAAGGAGGCTTCTAGGGGCAGGAAACGGTGATGTGAAGCCGGAGGCCATGCAAAGACACTGAGTGGAATTCAGTTCGGCCGAGACCCAGGCTGGGGCTGGGCTGGGGAGGCGTGGGGGGGCAGAAGCAGACAGGAGGCAGATTATGAAAAGCCCTGCCAACCGTGTCAAATTTGGATGATCTCCCAGGAGCAATGGGGAGCTATTGAAGGATATTAAGTAACAAGAGACATAATCAGATTTGGGTCCTTTAAAAATTTATTTAGCTTTAAGTTGCTGAAGTAATGCGTGTGCCTACGTGCGTGTGTGTTGTAGCAAGTGAAATGATATAAAGATAAATTGGAAAAAGCCAGTCTTTTGTCTCTGACTTTCCCTCCATTCTTCCCCCAACCTTAGATCACTGCTGTTAATAACCTGGAATATATCTTTCTATGGCTTTCTCTTTTATTCCAACATTTATCACACACGTGCACACGCGCGCGCACACACACACACACACACACACAGGAATTGGTTGACCTGCAGTTGGAAAAGAATCATGCTTTGCTTGTTACTTAGGTGAACTTAGTGCCGACCCAAACATCAATGGTATCCATGACACTGGACGTAGGCCTAAATCTCTGTCTCTCTGTCTCTGTCTCTGTCTCTCTCAGTGCATCTCAATGTTTTTAGACATAGATGCGCTCACATATATGATTTCCCATAAGTGGGGGTCGTATCAAACATGCTGAGTTGCTATTATTTTTAATGTTTTCATCTTTCTTTCCATTATTTTATTTTATTTTTCAGCAGTGTGCACTTTAGGATTCTCCTCCTGGAAATTAGCTGAGAAATGAGCCAGGAGCAGGCCAATGTGGAGGCCTGGAGGCAGGAAGCCACTCTCGGTGGCCAGAAAGGGACGGAGCGGCCAGACTAACCGGGTGGCTGTGAGGTGGAGTCATTAAGGACACCATTGTTCATTTCTCCAGTGGCAACTGGTTCTGTGGATCATACTTTAGAAGAGACACCCCGAAATCTTGGGAGAGAGGATGGTTCCAGAAAGAGAGGTGAGTTTTTCAGTTGAATAGAGCTGAGTTTTCTGGTCCGCAGCTGGCTCGCCCTGGGCAGGACTCAGAGACAGGGTCTCACCTTCCTATCTCCAAACTCAGGTCGATCACTCCTGCCACAGAGAGTCTCTGTGAGGAGTAAATGAAAGGCTTGCATGGGAGGTACGGCCCAGGGTAGAGTGGACACCGGGTGAATGGCTAACACACAAGCCTGACCGCCCAGCCCAGCATAGTCGGCTCCCCACACAATGGACCCCTTTGCCATCTCCTACGCCCTTCTCAGGGCTGCCCATAGGGGAGCCCCCGCATCTCCCTACAGACCCTTGACCACCCGTGGTCCGCGGCAGGGCTGACCTCAAGGGGGACTGCAGGGAACCATGCAGGAACCTGGGAATCTCCCAGTTATTTTCTCGATACATTCACTGAGGCCTGACAATCCCTCTCCTCGGGACACAGGCAACCTCGAGGTCCACAGCCCAGATCAGAATTGAGGCACCAAACCCTGAAAGAGAAGGCGCACTCGCCTCCGTTCTGTAGCTTGTGTGCAAGTGAGAGAGCTCGCCTCTGTCCCTCATGGGGCGTAGGGAGGAGACACGGATGCCTTAAAAGCCTGAAGGCTCAAGTCCGAGTTCAGCACAGGCAGGGGACAGAGCGTGGCCAGGAAGCAAGCTGAACCAGGGGTGGACAAAGTGGCCTTGGGAAGTCTGGGTCCTCCGTGGCCTGCGCCGGAGTTCCTAGTCCCTGCCCAGGACAGGTACGCAACAGATGCTTCTTGTGTGAACGCAGCAACAGAAGAGAGTTGACCAAACCCTCCAGAGGTGCATTCACCAGGAGTTGTTAAGGAAATCATGGCGAGGGATCAGGCAACCTGACACCCACTGGGGGAGATTCCCAGCGTGGCAGAGAAGCCTGGGAGGGGCGTGGTAGGCGAGCCAAACCGGGTGCAGGTCAGGGTCACGTGGCCCTTGGCTCTGATGCTTCAGACTCAGATGTGGGTAACGTGTCATCCACCCAGGGCTGGATGCTGAGGGAGGAATTCGGAGGCCATGGGCAGGACACACGCTGGCCCACGCACGCACAGCCCAGGTCTCCCTAGACAAGCAGAAGCGGGGGGACCAGAGGGTGTCGGGGACAGAGAGACAGTTGGTTAGAGAGACGGTAAGGAGGGAAGAGGGACAAGGGAAAGAGAGAGGAGGGTGATGAGCAGGGGCAGGAAGGGCTCACGGCTTCAGGAACTCTGACCAGGGCCCAGCCCAGAGGGTCGGGCCCCCAGGACAGCGGGGTGCCAGCATGCGGCCTGGGCGCCCAGGCAGCCAGGAGGCCCCGTGTGCTGTCTGTGATCTGCTCTGAGAACTGAACCTCTTCCCACCACCCCTCCCCACCATTCTTGTCTTCTCCACCCGCACAGTGAGACCACCCGCCTGAGAAGTCTCCAGGCCACCTCCAGCTCTGCGATTCTCTATTTACCGCCACGACTGCTTCCCATGCCCGGGGCTCCACCAGTCTGGGCGGCGACGAGGCCTCGCGGAGCCCGCCTGTCAGCGCAGCCTTCCTGAGAGACGCAGGGGAGGGTGGGCACCGTGGCCGGGCACGTCGAGGTGGCCGCGGGAAGGCATCCGAGCAAGGGCAAGGACAGCTTGAGGGAGGGCCTCCCTGGGGCCTTTAGCCCCCAGCGCGGCGGAGTGAGGCTGGCAGCCCCGGGCAGCAGCCGGCCGGGGACAGTTTTCCCCGGGCTGGAGACGGCCTGGCTCCGGGCCCACCTCCCGGTGCCCCCGGCCTGACATCTTCTGGGCAGAGCCGCGGTGCCCAGGGAGCCGTGTGGATGGTGTTAGTAAACACGCTTTCTCGCGCCCAGCCTGCCAGGGCCTGTGGGCAGCGGGAGGGCGAGCTGCTGGCAGCTCCCACGGCCGGCCGGGCGGCCGGGCGGGCAGACAGGCGGGCGGGCCGCCCCGCACAGCCGAGCCAGGGCCCCGAATGGAGCAGCTGCTCCCGTCGCCATGGAGACGAGGACTGAACAATGAGCAGCGAGAAAGGCGGCGTGGCCGCCTCGCACCGCGCGCCCCCGCCCTCCGGCCGGCCTTCCACCTACGCGCGCGCGCGCCCATGCACGCGCCCTTGCACGCGCGCGCGGCCGCGGCCTCCCGGCTGCAGAGGCCCCGAGCGAGCGGCGGGGGCTCGGAGGGGGCGCACGGGGCCCGGGGAGACCGAGGAGAGGGCGAGCCGGGAGGCGAAGCCGAGCAAAAATCTCACCGTTTGATCCCGGCTAAAAATACATTTTTAAAGAGGAGCCTGGCTTTTCGGAGGGTCACGTGGCGCCTTGGAGTCTTACATAACAGGAGCGCTAAAGGGGGTTTCTAATTAGCAAAGGGCATCTGGAAGCAAATCGCCCTCTGCCTAGGGAGGGGCAGCTGAGAGAGCCCGCCTGCTCCAGCGGCCCTAACGCCCGTGTTATTCCCCCTTGGAGACGATGTCAGCGGGTTAGCCACAGTCTGGAAAGCCTGGTCTTGGCCCTCGGGAAAGCAGAGGGACGTTCTGTCCAGAGGCCTGAGGGGCGCAAGGGGGCAGGACCGGACAGGAGGGGCCGGGGGGCGTGTGGGGACGTGGGGGCCGGTGCAGCTGGAAGTGGGCAGGCTCTGGCTGTGTGCTCCGGGCAAACCCGAGCATTTGCATTGTGTGCACTGACAGAGACGAACTGGTCCACCGCGGCCTTCCAGGAGGCCCCCAGGACCCTGGCGGAGGGGGCTGTGGCCGCAGTCGGCACCGTCATCTCCATCTTTTGAACAGAGTCCTGTTCACAATCCTGTGCAAGCTCCCCGTCACCAGCCAGCCGCCAGTCACTCTCTTTCTTTTATTTTTTTTAAAATGTTTTATTTATTTTTGAGAGAGAGAGAGAGAGAGACAGCATGAGCTGGGGAGGGTCAGAGAGAGAGGGAGTCACAGAATCCGAAGCAGGTTCCAGGCTCTGAGCTGTCAGCACAGAGCCCAACGCGGGGCTCGAACCCACGAACCGCGAGATCATGACCTGAGCCGAAGTCGGATACTTAACCGACTGAGCCACCCAGGTGCCCCCGCCAGTCACTCTTTCAAGTTCCCATCCCTGTTTTTACAGTAAAAAGCCAGGTCTGTGAGCCTCGCGAGCCTTCCAGGACCACCGTCCAAAGCCGGGCAATCCTATCCCAGTTTGCATCAAGTCCATCACATCCCGGGAGGCTGCCTGGTTTCTGGTGCCTTCGCCTGATTCCTTCCTGCTTCAGTGCCGGCGGGGAGGGAGTACCTGCTAGGCCCTTGTAGTAGAAAAGACAAGACCGCCCACCACTTGGCCTGATTCATGGGAAAGCTAGAAGGGACATTTTAGGGACTATGGTGTCCACCTCCCCACTCCCCAGTTCAGAGGGGATCTACTTTAAAGGTCACTGCAGGCGAATGCTAGAACTGGATGGAAAACCAACTGGAGTCTGACAACCAGGCAGTGGGGGGAGGGGGGAGAGGGGATGGCTTGAGGAAGGGGAATAAGGCCAGAAGTTGCTTTGGTGTTTCAAGAGAGAGGGGCAAGAGGAGACAAGAGAAGCAGCATTTGGCAAAGGGGAAAGGAGCTTGGGGAGAAAGGGGAAGCCTGGGTGGGAAGAGGTGTCTCCCACCAATAAACCTCCTCAATGGAGTTGGGTCCTAATGACTTCCAGCAACTGTATCAGAGCACAGCTGAGGAATCTGAAGACACCACTCCGCCCCCCCCCCCCCGCCAGCTTCACGGCTTCTAAAACTATGGGCACCGCCAAAGGTAAAACGTACGAAATAGTCAAAGGAAGGAATGAGCTCGGGGACAGAGCCCGACCCTCTCCCCAGGTGCCCCTCTGCCCAGCAGGGCACCCTGCTGGAAAGTTCTGGGAGCCCTAGGAAGCCATCTGCGCTGGCTCAGAAGTGGCAGAGAGGGAATTAAAACCACCAAAGGAAGGATCAGAGAGAAACTCTCCCCCCTCAAGAGCCACTTTAGTAGATGAAAAAAGCCAGGCGATTTTTAATCATCACAAATGGTTTGAGCTTCTGGTTCCATCCTCTGAAGACGGGGCGGCCTCCCCTGGCTGCTGGCCGGTGCTGGCCGGTCTCCGGTGGTCCGAGCTCTGTCGGGCAGGCGACAGCCCACCTACATCTTCCTCCCCACTTCCTGGAACCCTCGGCCTGTCCTCTCAGGTCGCCGGGCGAGGCCAGGCAAGCTGACCCCGCTTATCTAAGGAAATCTGACAAGACTCCGGCCCTCAGGGGTATGGCCACTGGCAAAACATATGGTGCATCGTAAATAGGACTTCCTTTTAGGAAATGAGCCGCTGTAATTAAATCCCCATTCATTTTTTGTAACATACACACAGAGACAAATAGATCTTTATCCTTTGTGGGCACAGAAGAGAAATGGCTTGTTCTGGACAGAGATTCTCTGGTGTCAGGTCTTTATCAAAGGCTTCCTAGATCCAGGTGGAGTGAGAAGTTGGAATTCCTAAACCTAGGAATTGGCCTAGAATTTGCTGCGAGGAAGTGACCTGGTCTGCCCATCCCACAGTCGAAGAGCAGAGCAGGCTCGGGACTAAAGATTACATTAGGTTTGTTTCAGTGGGATTTAGTTTGATTTGGTTCAACCCAAATGAACGCTGGCAGTGAGGTGTGCAGGGAGGCTAGGTTCTGAAGGATGCAAGGGGGAAACCAAGGCAGCCCCCTGAGGGCCCGTGGGGAGGGGTGCTGGCTGGTGCACAGGCTCAGTGCGGGCAGAGGGGCCCTGGCTTGTTCCCGCAGGGTCTGGGATGGCTTGGGAGGTGACAGGGAAGGGTAGGACTTCCTTAAGAGAGACCTGAGTAAGCCCCCCCTTCCCCCCCCCCCAGGGAGAAGGAAAGGTAGACACAGAAAACAACCACGTGCTGAGATGTGTCCCATCTAGAGCCACAAGCCTCGGGGGAGATGAGGCTGCAGAAAAGAAGAACCCGGACACCTCTCCTGGCTTCTGGCACCGACAGGATGGAATACTTGATTTCCTCGCGAGTGAAGCTTTCCTTCTCAAAGTCCGGCGGTGGGCAAAACCGAAACAAAATCGAACAGCTCTTTCTCAAACAGTCTCTGAAGAGAAGGTGAAAGGCGCTGAGTTCTTTGGTGTGCGGGTCTCCAAGGTGAAGGCGAGCCAGGGTCAGCCTGGAGCCCCTTGTCAACCCTCAAAGTTGCACATTCCATGGGGCCCTTCCCTGTAGTCCGAGCTTTGAAATCGGTGGAAAACCACAAAGCTTCTTTGAGATGCAAATGTTGTGCGAGGGGCTGGGCGAACAATTCTGATCACTATCTCTCCGGGCCTGCTTTCTGTGGGGCTTTAGGCTGGTTGACCCCAACGGGGCTAAATCACAGGTACCGAGGGCTTAACACAAGGTAGAAAGCGCTAAGGGCCATTTGGCAATGGCACATAAAGTGCCAGGGAAAAGGCAGCTCCATCCGGCCTGATCCGGACAAGCTTTAAGTCCCTGGAGCAGGGCTCAGGGCCCCGGGCTTGCCCGTGTTCGAATTCTGACTCCCAAGTATAATAGCTGTGTGACTCTGAGCTAAGTGCCCAACTTCTCTGTGCTCCAATTTGCTCCTCTGTAAAATGGGGATAACAGTGCAATGCCCTTTTCCTAAGGTTATTGGGAAGATTGCATAAACTCATATCTAAAGCATGGCCGACAGTGTGGGGCATGGAATGTGTACTTGCAGAGTTTGTTGTTATTAAGTGAATCATTTAAGTGGTTGTACAGAGACTGGGAAGGTAAGGATATAAGGAAACATTTTAGATGAGGAAAATTATATGTTATTCTTGGCACCCTGAGGGATTTCAGAAATCAGAGTAACGTTTCCTTACAGTCTTCGTGGTTCAAAGATGAAATGGACCCCCTCAGGAAGGGGCATCCACATGTCAGCTGATAAGGACTTCACAGAAGAATGCCAAGCATCGGACTGGCGGTTGAACTAGAGGACCTTTGGGGTCCCTTCCAGCCCTGACATCCGCACCCTTCATGCTATTCCACGCAGAGGGGAGCGCTCTCCCGGTGCTCCCTGGGGCGTGATCTGGGAAGCAAGAGCATAGTGGCTGGTGCTCCCTGGTACATCCTGCTGGAAGAATCCTCCCAGCGTGCCCCAGAAACCTCCCTGTATAACGCCCAACATACCCCTGGGAAGGTCTGGACCTACTGTGGATCCTTACTCTGTAGAAAAGCAAGTGGTGAAGGCGTTTTATTTTCTCGTTGTTTCTTCCCCATCATCTTTTGGTGTACCTTCATTTAAAGGTTCAGAAACTGGAGGCGCCTGGGTGGCTCAGTCAGTTGAGCATCCGACTTTGGCTTAGGTCACAACCTCATGGCCCTTGAGTTCGAGCCCCACATGAGGCTCTCTGCTTTCAGCATGGAGCCAACTTCAGACCCTCTGTCCCTCTCTCTCTGCCTCTCCTCTGCTTTTTTTCTGGTATTTTTGGGGCACCAGGGTGGCTCAGTCGGTTAAGCGGCTGACTTCAGCTCAGGTCAGGATCTCGCCGTCTGTGAGTTCAAGCCCTGGGTTGGGCTCTGTGCTGACAGCTCAGAGCTTGGAGCCTGCTTCAGAGTCTGTGTCTCCCTCTCTCTCTCTGCCCCTCCCCGGCTCTTGCATGCACTGGCTCTCTCTTTCTCTCTCCCTCTCTCAAAAATAAATAAACATTAAAAAAATTAAAAACTAAGAAAAATTAAAAAAAGATAAAATGCAGTTCCTCGGTCACACTACCCACACTTCAAATGCTTAACAGTCACACGAGGCTAGTGGCGATGGTCTTGTTCAGAGGAGACAGGGACCATTTCCATCATGGCAGAAGGTTCTTGTGGGCTGTGCTGCTCTAGGTCCTTCGAGACCCCTTTTTAAAGACTCGGAAACTGAAACCTACCTTACCCACCATCACTTACAACCCCTCC